TCATCTAAAGCTTTCTAAAGATGAGGCTGGAACACCAGTTGATTCCACACTCTATAGAAGTATGATTGGTAGTTTGTTGTACTTAACCGCTAGTAGGCCAGATCTATGTTTTAGTGTTGGTATGTGTGCTCGTTACCAGTCGAATCCTAAGGAATCACATTTGAAAGCCGTGAAACATATAATTAAGTATGTTCATGGTACTTCAGATTTAGGAATTTTGTATGCTCATGATACTACTTCTAGTCTTGCAGGGTACTGTGATGCCGACTGGGCTGGGAACATTGATGATCGGCGAAGCACTTCTGGTGGTTGTTTCTACATCGGGAACAACTTAATTTCATGGCTAAGCAAAAAGCAGAATTGTGTGGCTTTGTCTACCGCGGAGGCCGAATACATCTCAGCTGGAAGTTGCTGCTCCCAGCTTGTGTGGATGAAACAAATGATGGTGGAGTTTGGCCTTCAGGTAAGAACCATAAACCTTTATTGTGATAATACCAGTGCTATCAATATCTCTAAGAATCCAGTTCAGCATTCCAGAACCAAACACATAGATATACGGTACCATTTTATTAGAAATTTGGTAGAAAATGAAGTGATTATTCTTGATTATGTGCCAACACAAAACCAGCTGGCTGATATATTCACCAAAGCTCTCGATTCCCAGCGGTTCATTTCTCTAAGGAAATCCTTAGGGATGTGCACTCCTTGAATGCTTGCATGAACTTGCATTATATTATATTGTATTGTATACTATATATATTACTATATATTGCATTGCCTGTAAGCACGTAGGTTCTAATTGCATTAGACATACTTTGCATTGCTGCATTGTCTCCCACCACCAAGTCATAAATGAAGTTCCGACTCTCTTGTAACTGGGTGAAGTGTTGATTGTCCTTGATTGATTGCGTGTTACTTTATGCCATGGAACAAATTTATTTCTGTCAACAAGAGCTGCCTTCACATAATGATCTAGAGCGATAGCTAGCACATGGTTCGTTTCCCTTTTGGATCGACTGTGAAAAGAGCGTCATGGACAGAAAACGTGTGAAGGGTGGTAGCTATTGACAACCACTACACTTGATTGTGTGGTGTTTTCTACTTGGAGTTATAAGGTGGTCATTCTCATAAAAAACGTAGTGCATAATGTTATTAAAAAAAAAAAAAAAAAAAAAAAAAAAAAAAAAAAAAAAAAAAAAAAAAAAAAAAAAAAAAAAAAAAAAAAAAAAAAAAAAAAAAAAAAAAAAAAAAAAAAAAAAAAAAAAAAAAAAAAAAAAAAAAAAAAAAAAAAAAAAAAAAAAAAAAAAAAAAAAAAAAAAAAAAAAAAAAAAAAAAAAAAAAAAAAAAAAAAAAAAAAAAAAAAAAAAAAAAAAAAAAAAAAAAAAAAAAAAAAAAAAAAAAAAAAAAAAAAAAAAAAAAAAAAAAAAAAAAAAAAAAAAAAAAAAAAAAAAAAAAAAAAAAAAAAAAAAAAAAAAAAAAAAAAAAAAAAAAAAAAAAAAAAAAAAAAAAAAAAAAAAAAAAAAAAAAAAAAAAAAAAAAAAAAAAAAAAAAAAAAAAAAAAAAAAAAAAAAAAAAAAAAAAAAAAAAAAAAAAAAAAAAAAAAAAAAAAAAAAAATAATATTTCTTCATCGAGCATTGAGGTAAAGTAGTGGGGTTGACTCTCGCTATTGCAGCGATTGTTACTAAGTGAAACACCTCGGTGTGAATGTGTTGCTTAAAATCATTGGGTAAAGTAGTGGGGTCGACTTTCACTATTGCAGTGATTGTTACTAAGTGAAACACCTAGTGAATAATAAAGCTCATGTTCTTTCGGTGCTAGAATTCTGGAGAGATATGACTTGCACTACATATATATATACTTGTATTCCGCCGCTGTTTTGTTCCTTGGTGTGTTGGTGACACAATATCATTTTGGATTAGTTAAGCATGAATCTCGTTATAGGTGAATAGGAATGAATTTTGTTGATCTTGGTGTATTGCGTGATTTTGGTTATTCTTTTTTTCATCCTTAGGCATAAATCATGTGGTTTCCTTGGTGAATTTGAATTATTTGGGTCTCATATATTTTGTGTAGTACATATGATGGCATAAAATCGGATTTTCCTACTTAATTTTCGAAATAAAATGGGAAGTTATTATTGTGGGAAGTTGTGATGTGTTTGAATTTGGTTTTGGAAGGGATTTAGTTTCCTAAAACCGCCCAATCTCTTTCTCTCTCCAATTACCTTGAATTGTGGAACGTGCCTTTTGCAGTTATCTATGACAGTTTCTTTAAACTTACACGCAACTTCTCTCTCTCTCCTTCTTTTATTTCTCATCTTGTTCTTTCGTCTTTCTCTCTCTCTCATTTTGCCCCAAACCCTAGTTTTTCCAATTCCCCACCTTCATTTGTTCTCCATGGCTGGTAGCAAAGATAAGTCGAAGAAACGCCATAAGAAGCACAAGGACAAGGGATCGAAGCGGCGTCGGTATTCAGTCGCTCCTAGTTCGCCTCGTATGTCGCCGCCTCCGGAATCGTCTCAGCCACAGGATGCACCACCTGTTACCCCGACTCCATCTCCGGCAAAGGCGGACACCGAGACCGTAGCTCCTCAACCTTCTCCGATGTCTACGAATATTCCTGTTCTCTCGCCTCAATTGCTTCAAGACATCGCGGCCGGCACCACTCAGGGGGAGTCTTCGGCACTTCCCACTTCTGGAACAAAGTCGACCACAAAGGAAGGTGACAAATCCGACACTGCTGGTACAGCCATTGAAGTTCGCTCCGACCAAGAGACTCCTCCTCGCCGACAATCTGTCCGTCGGTCCGCTAGGCGTGCGGGTAAAGAGCCCATGGAAACCGCTCCTGTTGAACAAGAACCTGAAGATGACGACTATGACTTGTCTAACGCCTACTCGAACAGGTTCTATACTCAAGCTGCTTTTGGTCGTTTTGAAGATTTTTCTACTTATGGTTTTTGGGCTGAACATCCTCTTGGTGATGCGAAGTATGAGGATTTGGGTATTGTTAAGCTCATTGAGGCTGTGGGTTTGTCTAAAACCGTCAATAATCTTCACCCTTTCTGTGGTCAAGCTGTGCGAGAATTTTTTGCTAATTTAACCCCTGCTGTTTTTACACCTGGTAGCCCTCGTTTTCACAAACTCTTTCTTCGGAATAGAGTCATTGATTTCTCTCCTGAGCTTTTGAACTTGCATTTGGGTTTACCTGCTGATGTTCCATCTTTGTCTGAAGTTGATCTTGATGTTGTTACCCAAACCCTCTCTGATAAAAACCTTGATACTTGGCCTGGTTCGAATTTGCCTGTGAGTTGCTTGTGCCTTACCGCGAACATTCTTCATAAGATTGGTGCTGGGAATTGGACACCTACCTCCAACAAGAACTTGCTCACTGAACTTCAGAGCAAAGTCATCTATTGGATCATGGATGGACAGGTGTTCAACTTTGGTGAGGTTGTCTTTGACATTATCCACTCTTTCATCATTAATTCCGATTCTCGTCGCACTCTTCCCTTTCCTTGCTTAATTTGGTCCTTCCTTGCTGCTAATCATTTCTCTGTGAACCCTCGATTTAATGATGCTCTTGAGAACCCTGGGAAAGCTTTTATTGTGAGTGCTCGCACGTTGAGTATGAAGGCCGCTCCCAAGACCAAGTTTGATCTTGCTCCTTCCCTGGTTCCCACCAAATGGGATGAATTCTTGGTACAGCAGCTAGCTGAGTGGGACGCTGTGGCCAAAAAGGTTGCTACTCAGCAGGCTTATCTTCGTCAAGTTCTTCAGGCTGTCAAGGGACTGCAGCGCAAAAACTCGGGGACTGGCCCTTCGGCATCCCGTAGTTCGAAAAAGGGGGAGAAGAAGGCTAAGGGTTCTGATGAAGATGATGAAGATGAAGATGTCGATGATTCTGAAGCTGAAGAGGATTCCTCTGATTCAGGGGGAGAGTCTACCTCTGATTGAAGTTTGTTGCTGCGCGATCTAGTTGCTTAGGATGTGTGTGGAGGGATGTAGTGAGGTCTTTATGTATTAAAGAACCTCGTTCGTATTTCATCTATTTTGTGCTGTGCTGCTACATTGCCTATTGCTTGTGTGACTTTTGTGATGAACTTCGTTTTTAGGTGATTTATGGATGCAGTTAATTATTTCTTGCTTGCAGGAACTAATCAGTAGAACTAATGATCTATTGCAGAATCTGTGGAGTTCTTGTTGTTTATGTCTTGCAGGAAATTTTCGAACTAGATGCCAAAGGGGGAGATTGAAAGATATATTTTGGCATAAGTTCGAAAAGTTAAAGAAGTTCCTGCCATGTTTAGTAAGGGAAGTCTTTGTTACCAAAATTAGTTCCTATTATATTTGCTCTTATGATTTGTTTACGTGTTGTAGGATATTGATGCTATAGGAAAGGAGCTTCACGCGCATGGCACATCACGAAAGAAAAGGAAAACTTTGGATAAGTAAGGCAAGAGAATATGTGGAGAGAGAAGAAGAGTCCTTTACATGGTAGGACTTTGGGGACATGCCATATAGAGACCAAGGATTGTGGGAGACCTATGAGATGATATAAAAACCGATCTTGAAGGTTGAAGGCGGCTGCTGAAACTAGGGCAATCATTTATCTCCTTCAAGCTTCAAGTTTCACGTTGGCTACTTGTTTCATTTTGTTCTTGTTTCGGTTCAATTCTTAATTGATTCGATCTTTGAGAAACTGATACCATTTTGATTGTATTGTTTTCAATTATTCTGAGTTGAACTTTTTGATCATTTACACTTAGGGAGTAAGTGTGAAAAATAAGTCCACGGGACGTGGCCGGAGAAGTAATTGATAGGCTAGATCATAGTTGTGGTTAGAATAGAAGGGAGTTCTATTTTGTAAATCCAAACTATGTACTTAATAGTTATCAATGAAAGAGCTCTGAGGGGAAGTGGGATACTTCCCTGAAGAGTGTTTTAAATCTTTGGTTGTCGCTTCCGCAAATTACAATCTTTACAATTGTTCGTACTTCAATTCAGAACACTCGGGATCTTTCTATACGTTTCAATCTGGAATCATCAAGACAAGGAATTGGGACACCACAACGGTTTTCGAAAGGTGCAGAACAATTAAACATGGTATAATTGTAGTTGTCATATGAGAACCGAAACGGGGAATTGGATGACGATAAGTTTAGCTGTGGTAGCTTTCGGGGGAGGCAATTTTCAGGGTCATAAAGATGAATTTGTTGGGTAACATAGTCGATGTGCTTTACTGCAACTTGTACAGAGGAAGGCAGTAGAAGCATAGTCTCGTTTTTCTCATTGCAAAACACTTCAAAACCTCGATACCCACAGTATTCCGGGCTTCGCTTTTTTATCCTGAAAGGAAATCGAATCTTAGGCCCGTGTTTCTTGCAACTGGTGGGCTTACAGTCATCAGTTTCTAATCCAAGCACTGCAGTGAACAAAGACAAGCAAAATAAGATGAGGAAGAACGAGACGGACGCCATACAGATACAGGGCATTGTATATTTAACAAATGATGGCATAAATATATCCAAAAAAATCACTAGTGACACAGTCGAGCTCGTGAATAATGCATGGTTGGAAAGTCAAATAAATCAAATCAACCTACCAAACACCAAAGAATAATGTCACATTCACATAGCATAACATAAACGTGACAACAGAGAATTTATCAGCAAGAATTAAGCAACAGATAAATTTCCACGGATGGTCTTGTATGTGTGGTCCAGTGGGACGGACGGAGACTAATAATTCAATGTTTCCTTTCCATTTAGAGTCTTATTTCGTTTGGTAGAGATGTGACATGCTTCGGTGTCTCAGGCCATCTCCAGCCCTTATCTCTACTCTAGTGCAAAATTTACTCTACTCTAGAGTAGAGTGAAATAAAAATCAAATTTTGTCTCCAACCGTTCGCACTACATTTTACTCTACAAAATATTTTCTTTTTATTATCATTATTTTAAATTATTTTAACTCTGCATTTTTTCTCACAAAATTAATTACACAGTTAGTGTAAATGTATAAATTAATTTATAATTAAAATTATCAAATATGTAATTTTATCAGTATGAAAATTTATCAATATTAAAATCTGTATGAAAAGTTATTTAAATTTATCGTTTTAAAATTTTAAATGTGCAAATTTAATATGGAAGTTTGTCTGATTTCACAAAAGAATACATAAAGATAAGAATAGAACTAAAAAAAGGGCAATAAAAATATAAAAAATAACAAAACAATCTAGCGTGATGTACAGTATTGCGTTAGATGTGGAGTCACACTGTTTAAAACTCTATTATTAACTAATTTATTTCAAACAATTTATTTATTTTTTTTTCAACTCATTAAGCAAGTTTTTTTTTTTTATTTAAAATTAGTTAATTATTCTTATGGTATAAGCAAGCACTTTAAAATTTCGTACACAATTGTTATAAATAATAATTTTAATATTGTTTTATCCAATTAATTTGTCATACTCAGCCAAGGTTGTATCAATATAAAAATTAATACGTAAATTAAATAGTTTATATTTATATTGTTCATTTTTTCTAACGATTACATTTATAAAATGTGATCTACTCATTATCTAACTTACGATTTTAAATATTACATAAAAACACATAACTCATAAAATTTTATTTGCATTTGTGCATGCGCACAGGGTCGAATACTTGTATATATAATTGTGGGCAAAGCATTTAATAAAACCATTTTAGTTTTCCTCCATTTTCAGTTACAAAATTATATTACTAATATTATTTTACCTTTCACATCAATACCCTCTACTAAGTGTAATCATATGATTTTTACTATTATATTATATAATTGTTAATGCTAATACCAATCAATAACAATACACACTAAATAGAAATTATTTAAGTATAAACAACTCTATTGCAAAAATTTTTCTTCAACTTGTTTATTTTAAAATTAAAATTATCCCTTTTTTTTTTTGTATCTCATGAAACAATTTTCTTAAAAAAAAAAAAATTGGATTATTTTAATAGCATAGTCAAAATATGTGGTGATTTCCCGGGTCGACCTGGACCCTGACCCAGCCCGGCCCAGCCCAGCCCGCGACCAAGTTAAAATCCGAGCCGGGCCGGGTCCAGGCCGAGTCGAAGTGGCCCGTGGCCACCTCTAGTTGTTCGAGGGACTCGCGTGGTCGGCAGGAAAATTGGCGGGCCACCTTTATGTTTTCTTGTTATTTCGTTATTTGACTTTTTAGGCACGGCTGATTTCTTTTCCCATTTATCCCATTTAACACGTGACACACGTCTTTTTTTAACACGCGACACACGTCATCAATCCTAAACGAGAATCAGAAATAGATAACACTAATCTGCAAGCATATCCGATCCATATAATAGGGATATATTTCTTCCTTTTCCTAGCTTTTCACTCATTTGTCTAGCTAGCTTGTTTTTCCCTGCAAAACCACCTAAACCATGCTGAGACACGAATACCCTTTGCTCCTCAAAACTATTTTCTCATGCTTGATCACGCTTCAAACTTGCACACTTTGCACAGGTCAGAATACCAATCCTCATAGTTGCCCGCCTTCTTCATGCGGCAATATTCCTAATATTAGCTACCCTTTCAGACTGAAAAACGACCCACCACACTGTGGCGATCCCCACTATGAACTCGAGTGCCAACATAATACGACCGTGTTGGTATATTTGGAATCTCACAAATACCTTGTGCAAGAAATCAACTATCTCAACCACACTATCCGCCTAATCCATCCCTCCATGTCACAAAACGACATCTGCTCTTTCCCAAACTACTCTAGTAATTATGTGGCAATACCAGATGTGATATCGTTTGGAAATTATTTTGCCTATAGATCGCCGTTCCTCGTGGTAGAAGAAAAGGCAATCTATTACCTTCCTACACGGAAGATGGATTTTATTAGCTGTCCACAACCCTTCAACAACTCCCAATTCGTGGATGTTGGTGCTGAGTGTGGCCACACGAGTTTTAATTATGGTCTCAATGTGTCGGGTATTACAAATAAGCACATGTACATAGGGTATCTAACTGATGATGATGCGACAACATGGTCATCTAAATTAAAGAGCAAATGTACTATACACTTCGAAGTGATGCTAGAGCCAAGTGGTGATGCGTATATTGACAAAGGAAATCTTACTCTTTCAAAAGTCCATAGATTTTTGGTCAATGGGTCTACACTTTCTTGGGCCACTGTGCTCTGCGGTGGCAAGTGTCAATTATGTTACATTGATGGACCAACTGCAAGATGTTTCGGAAGTCTCGAAAGAAGTCAATGGTGTTTTTTTGGCACGATTACGAGTTTCCGGTGCGGTAAGAATTGATTGGTTGCACTTCGATATGAAGTCATGTTTTTATGATGAGATCATGTAAATAAATATATATTATTATAAGTTTTTTTTGTTATGTATATAACTTCAACCAAGAAATAGCCATGCTAAAAAATGCAATATGCCATTACTTGCCTATAACTTTTAATCTTAACTAGTTGTTCTTGTTCTTTTTTTTGTGGGAGATATTGCAGGTTTCATGTCTACTAAGTTCGTCATTGCCTTTAATTGTAAGAGTTCTTCCAACTCTCTTGCATTGTTGCCTTTATCTTATAAAATGAACATTCCAAGTTAAGCCGTATACCTTCTGTGAGTTTCAAATTTAATTTATATTTTTAAACATTATGTACTTTTTATATGTGATACATTAACAAAAAAAATATTGTGGAATAAATGTTTTCAAAAAATAATTTCAATGACTAAATTTGTTAACGAATTAATTGACATATGACATAAATATATATATATATATATATATATATATATATATGCGGATCAAATGCGCACAGCTCTTAAAATGCGCCCAGCTCTTAAAATGCGCCCAGCTCTTAGCAACTACATACAACTAACCTTGCAACTACAGATAACTAACCTAGCTAATACTAACCTAGCAACTACAGAAAACTAACCTAACAACTACTAACTTAGCAATTACAGAGAACTAACTTAGCAACTATTGAGAACTAACCTAGCAACTACAGAGAACTAACCTAGCAACTACTAACCTAGCAACTACAGAGAACTAACCTAGCAACTAGTAACCAATCAATTACAGGGAACTAATCTAGCAACTACAAAGAACTAACTTAGCAACTACAAAAACCTAACCTAGAAACTACAGAGAACTAACCTAACAACTACATAGAACTAACCTAACAAGTACAAAGAACTAACCTAGCAACTAGAGAGCACTAACCTAGCAACTACTAACCTAGCAACTACATACAACTAACCTGACGCACTAACCTAGCAACTACAGAGAACTAACCTAGCAACTATATACAACTAACCTAGCAACTACATAGGCGACCCCCTTTCCCCTTCCCTCTTCGTTCTTGCGGCGGACTACCTCTCTCGCTTCCTTGACGGCTTCATCCGCGACTCTCCTCATATGACCTATAGCACCTGTGGTTATGGTCCTCCCATCTCTCACCTCTCTTATGCGGATGACATCATCATCTTCACCCGGGCGGATGATGATGGACTGGTCGAGCTTATGCGCCTTCTGGAGCACTATGGCTCGGTTACCGGTCAGCTGGTCAGTGTGCAGAAGAGCACCTTCATCCTCTCATCTTCCACCGTTGACAGGTGGGCTCAGCGGGTCCACGACATTACTGGCTTTGCGCGTGGCGACCTTCCCATTACCTACTTTGGGGTCCCTTTATATAAGGGCAACCTCACGAGAGCGCTCTTTGCGGGCGTCAGGCAGATGATGATCGACAGGATATCTGGTTGGTCGCATAGACATCTTTCTTTCGGTGGTCGACTTGCGCTGATCAAGAGCACTCTTAGCTCTCTTCCGATTCACTTGCTTATGGTCCTCGACCATCCTAGGTCTACTCTTGACGAGATTGACCAGATTATGGCTCGTTATTTCTGGGGTTACGAGGACGGTTCTGGGAGGGGGAGACATACCCACTGGGTGAGTTGGGACTCTATCTGCCGCCCCCTCCCCGAGGGTGGCCTTGGCATCCGCCGCCTCAGGGACATTGTTACAGCTTTCTCCTACAAGCTGTGGTGGTGCTTCAGGGAGGGAAAGTCGCTTTGGGCTTAGTACCTTCGCGGCAAGTACTGCCCTAGACGTGCCAACCACCCTTGTTGGGTCACGGCTGTTGATCATGATAGCAGACAGTGGCGGCGTCTAACTAGGGTCGGTAGGCGGGCCCAGGATCACATCTTCTGGGTTTTGGGCGAGGGCGGGGTCAGTTTCTGGGATGAGTGGTGGGTAGGTGATAGGCCGTTGTCTAGGGATAAGCATGTGTCGCATTCCCCCTACCTGCTTGTGAGCGACCTTTGGACGGACGGGTCGTGGAATAGGGGGAAGCTAGATAGGGAGTTGGGCTCTGGGACGGGTTTAGCGAGCATTTATTAGATCGGATCCAGCAGATCCCTATCTCGGGGGACGGTTCGGATGGCATGAGGTGGAGACTTACATCATCGGGTGTGTTTTCTACTACCTCGGCTTGGGAGCAGATCAGGCTGAGAGATCGGCCTAATCTTCTTTTCGGGGCCATCTGGAGCGACCTTTTCACCCCTACCATTTCGGTGTTCCTTTGGCGCCTCCTCTTGCACCGGATACCCGTGGATACTGTGTTACACGCGAGGGGATCTCCTTCCCCTCTCGGTGTGTGTGTTGTTCTGAGATAGGACGCCATGAGACCGAGACCTTTACCCACCTTTTTCTAGAGAGTAAGATTGTGAGGAGAGTGTGGGAGCATTTTGCCACTTGGACACATATATCCCTACCCACCACAGACAGTTTCTTTGAGGTCCCAAGTTTTTTCTCACAGAGCACACACTTTAGACACGTGGGCTTCCTCATTCCTTGTCTGATCCTTTGGTTCACCTGGACAGAGAGGAATAGTGCAAAGCATAGGGATATTACTTTTTTGCTTTCTCACATTGTTTTGCAAGTAGAGAGACACATCTCACTCCTCATAGCATTGGACAGGCTCACGGCCCGAGACTGGACAGGTTGCACGCCGCCACACCGTTACATGGTGGCTCCCCCACCGCCTGTTCGGCCTCCTCGGGCCAGAGCTGTTGTTTGGCTTCGACCTGACTCTCCGTGGGTCAAGCTGAACACTGATGGCTCCTTTGATCGTCACACTGGAGTTGCCGGAGGAGGAGGCTTGATACGGGACCACAGCGGCGCCCTCCTCACCGCCTTCCACACGCCCATTCAGGCCTCCTCGAGCTACGATGCAGAGATTCAGGCATTACAAATCGGCCTTCAGATTGTTGTCCACCTCTCTAGCCACATTTGGATCGAGCTAGACGCTGCGGCTGTCGCCAACCTTTTGACCTTGGGCCACCAGGGCTCGTGGCAGATTCAGCATCCGCTTATGCGTATTAGAGCCGTACTACTGTCTGTCCATCACAGGATCACGCAAATTTTCTGTGAGGGGAACAGACCTGCCGACTATCTTGCCAGCCTTGGCGCCACCATACCAGACACATATACATTTCAGACCGACACTGCTCCACTCCGCCTACGCACGCTTGTTCGGATGGACCAGCTTGAATATCCATCGTTCCGATTTTAGCAGATTAGGTTTTTGCTCTCATTAGATTGGATCTTACTTCCGGGCACCTGTTAGCCCGTGGACAGACTTTGTATTATCTTTTCCTTTTTGGTTTTCTTTTGTTGTTTTTGTTTTGTTTTGCTTCAGAGACTTTGTTCATTGTAGTTTGTTGATACTTTGGGCCCCAGTTTTCGGGCCTTGATCTATGTACAAGTTGGGGATCCAACCTAATCCCCCGTCCTTCCGGGGCGTTGTTTGTTAAAAAAAAAAAAAGATGATTGATCGTCTAAGCATAAACTGTGGTGAAGTGGTAAGATTTCTTCACACGATTAAAGGGCAGCAGCTCATTTCAGTATAAATGATGAACACACACAAAAAAAAAACAAAAAAACAAACAAAAAAAAAAAGAAACTTTATGTCACAAGAAAATTAGGGTCGAGCATAATTAACATCTTGATTTTATGTGCAGATTACACCCTGAAATATCAGAATGGCATAAGTAAGCCCTTATTTTCCCCGTTTACTAATGCTTTTCAATACATGTCAAATTCGTTTACTATAAGTATAGTTTCACTCCTATCTCATTAAATAAAAAAAGTTTCACTCTTCTTTCTTGTAGCGTATGCAGCTCTAGCCTACCTTTCCTTAAGGACATTAATAGGAATAGCTTTATTGCTGTTAGTAATCATTCACAAGCTCCGGAGACAGCACTTGTCGACATTCGATATAATCGAAGTCTTCTTACAGAACACCAACAACAATCTCATGCCCATCCGCTACTCTTACAGAGACATCAAGAGAATGACAAGTGGCTTTCGCCACAAACTCGGTCAAGGCGGCTACGGTTCTGTCTACAAAGGAAAGCTCCGAAGCGGACAAATCGTAGCCGTCAAATTACTCCTCACCAAAAACTCCCGAGACAACGGTCAAGATTTCATCAACGAGATTGCTTCCATTGGCAGGATCCACCACGTCAACGTGGTCAAACTCGTCGGCTTCTACGCGGGAAGAATGTCAAACAAACGAGCACTCGTTTTCGACTTCATGCCCAACGGCTCACTCGAGAGGTACATCTTTACGGAAAGTCCGAAACCTCTGAGCTGGGAGAAGAAGTACGAGATTGCGGTTGGTGTGGCAAAGGGGATTGATTATCTGCACCGAGGGTGCGACATTCAAATCCTGCATTTCGACATCAAACCTCACAACATACTTCTCGATGACAAATTCACGCCTAAAATATCCGATTTTGGGCTCGCGAGATTGTACGCCACAGATGATAATACGGTGACTCTCACGGCTGCTCGGGGGACGATAGGGTACGTGGCCCCTGAACTCATCAACAGAAGTATAGGCGGGGTTTCGTATAAGGCTGACGTGTACAGCTTCGGGATGCTGCTTATGGAAATGGTTGGGCTGAACAGGGACATAATGGGAAATGACGACGAATCTAGTCAGTACTTTCCGCACTGGATTTACGATAGGTTTGAAAAAGGCAAGGATATCGAGACTGGAGAAGCTTATACAGAAATCGATGATGACGAGCATGCGAAAAGAATGGAAAGGAAGATGACTGTGGTTGGGCTGTGGTGCATACGGATGAGTCCAGCAGATCGGCCGTCGATGAGTGAAGTGGTGAAAATGCTCGAGAGTCCGAATGCTGAGAACGTGCAAATCCCACCACGGCCATCCATGCAGCTGACTCGGATTTTGAACTATAGTGATGGGACATCGGGAACAGAACAAACAGGCTCGATGGCATTGTTGGGTGGTGTTAGTTCGAGTGAGATCAGTAATGATGGTCATTAGTGTTTTTATGCTTTCAATAATATGTTGTGTGTGGTGGTTGCTGTATTTGCAGTTGAACATGTATTTTCTACTAGAAACAATGTGTGTTTTCAATATTTTTGAAGGAGCAATAAAGCTAATTCTACTGTAGACGTGTTAACAGTGGCTAATTAAATAGGATTAACAGAATTAGGTTTGGACAATTCAATATAAAGAGTGTGGACTGTGGAGGTATGTTGCATAAGTATGCAGTATGTTTCTCCATGTACAGTTAGTGTAGTTACAATTCAGTTCCCCTTTCCAAGTCCTACAAATTTGTTTTTTATCTTTGAAAATTCAACCTGCATACACCAGAAAGAATAATAAAACCACACGCACATATACAACATATATACTACAGTCAAGAGCCACCATTAGTTTGAAACCAAAGTAAAAAATGTAGATACAAAAAAGAAGATCAAGAAAGAAGTCTTGATTAACAGAGCAACAAGGCACTTATTTGCTGTCCATCAAGACAAATTAAAGCTACAAAATTACGAAACATGACAAAATAAATTACGATTGGAAGTTCATACCTTATAAAGTCTTATAAAGTTTGAACTTTGAAGTGCAACAGATTGCTCGCTGCAATATCCGGAAGGCTTTACGTGAGCTAACCTTATAAGGAGTATACTTTTTTCTGTGGCTCGGATTCTAATCGTGTGTTGGGTCTCTGGGGATTTGCTTCTGGCAGTTGAGTTAGTTGGGTTGGTTAGCTATATATAATATAATCCACGTGATGGGGCTGTCAGGTTTGTTTTTGAGTGGTCGGTTTGGAATGGCGGGTGATTGTGTTCGTGTTAGTGATTTTATTACTCCGACTCCGAGTGCCTTATGCTTTTGAATGTTCTTGTCAAGTGGGGTGATTGTATCGATGATTTCATAAGTCAGTTCAATATATTAGAACAATTCAAATGATTTTTCTCGCGTTAATTGAAAATCCCGATTCTTCCACAAACCCTACAGCCATCACTATTAAGGCATAAGCAGAGTTGTCGTAAAATGACTCCACCCCACAAAGAATACATCCAAATCTCTCTCCCTATACTCTGCTTGCCATTCATGTCACTTGACGGGGATCCCTTGAATAAATGATCCGCTAAGTCGAACATGATAATGCCCAATCGTATCTTCTTGTATTAGCTCGATAAAATAAATGAACTTATTTGTCGAAGGGTAAACGAAAAAGATCCATGTCCAGTTGTCCGTGGATTCATGAGCGTAGCAAGAAATTTTTTTAATTTCGGGCTAGATATTATTCTAGCTATTATTGGAGTCAAGTAGACATGGTCATTGGCCGGGTCGGCCCGTCGGCTCAGCCCGAACTGGCACAAACCGACTCGTAGTTTTGACCAGTCCGAATCATGTTCAATACTTTATTATTTATACATTTCGAACCGATTGTTTCGATTTTGAACTAGAATCGGACGGAGGTTCGGCCTTTTAAAAATAATATAATTTAATTATTTTTTTTAATGAACCGGGCGACCAAGAATCGACAGTTCAATAAATCGGCCCGTGCATATGTTTAGGCCAGTTCAGGACCTTCCAACCCCCGGAACAGATTTTGGCCATGACTACAAACATATTCCGGTTCGAATTATGAAACTCAATCTCGACTCGTTTATATATTTAAACAAGCCAAACTCAAATAACTAATCGAACTTATCGATCAAACAAATAGAGCCGAACATGTTTGCAATCAACTCTATATGAGTTTTTTCTTTGTCTAGGAAATGAGGTCAAATCCCCTCTATATATAATTTTAGAATAGGTTGAGCCTACATGGTAAACTCTTACGTTTCGGAATCTTATTTGACAAAAAACCATGTTTTGGAGTTAGACTTGAATATAAATTAATATTTTTTTATCACACTAAATCTATAATTAATTTTTTCCTTCTTTACTTCTACAATTAGTTACCATAATTTATTTTATTTTTCTTTTTCCTATATCACCATACATTACATTTCATTTTCTTATTTAATTCATTCATTAGCTATAAATGTTTCTTCTTCTTATTTTAAGATTTTATAACTTTTTTGTTTGTATTTTATTTTATATATACGATATATCAAATTAACTATCATATATATATAAAATACAAAATAATAATATATATTCTTATAAATAAAATTTAAATTTATTTATCAAACTAAATTACAAGATATCAAATAAAATTATAAATTATATTATAAAGTAATAGAAATTGGTATGTATTTTTTTAAAAATGATATTATTTCAAATCTAATTGGTATGTTATTAATCTAATAAAAATAAATAATTATTTATCTAAATTCTAAAATTACATATAAAGTTAGAAAACTGTGAAGCACAACAGATACTACACTTGATGTATTAGACATCTAATTATGTACAAAACTAATCTATTTTGCTTAATATTAAACAAACATATTTCAAGTTTTCCCCGATGGTAAACCCGCCTAAGGACATGGGCTCTATTAATTTGCACTTATGCATATACATATCACCATATTACTTTTATTTATTTAAGATATATATGTTTTTACTTAATAATAGTAAATAATATCGATAATTTTTATATGATAAAAATAAAAAAAATTCAATATGAATTGACATTTTCATTTAATATACGGGTGTTTAATTATTATGATTAAAAAAATATAATTTGACAATTTAATTAAAACTCAAAGTAATGTATTATATAAAATTAAATTATTTTAATTTAAAAAAATTAATATTTTTTACATATGCTTCCTAATTCAACAACCGCGTAAATACACGGGGATTGTACTAGTTAATTATTGAAGGCGAACTCAACAAAAACCAAACGAAAATGGTTAACGGATTGTGCAATGAGACAAACCCAATTAAATAGCCCAAATGAGAAATGTGTGTCAAACTTAATTATTCAGCTCATTTGGTACTTGTCAAGTCAACTCATTAAGAATTTAAAAGGCAAAGAAAGTGTTAAAAAACCCATTGTTACCCGGTCCAAATAACCCACCCGGTCCAGTTCCGGCTCCGGATTGACCAAGTCCCAGGTCGACCCGCTGGGCCAGTCCGGGTTGAAAAACAATGCTCATATATATCTCTTACTTTGTGATATGAATTGCAGAAAAAATAGAAAACTATCATATATTTATTTGCTATTTTTAGGAAATTTGGTTAATTTCTCTAAAAAATGATGA